GATAGTTTTAGATTAAATTAGATGCCGTTTTTAGGCGAAATTTAGGCGATGTTTGCCGTGCAGCATGAAAAAAAGACCAAATATCCATTTATTAGCGATAGCTACGTTGCCTTGCCGGTTCCTTTAAAAAATCAGATACAAATGAATGGCGAGGAAAGCGAAGAAAAGAGAGAAAGAGGCCAGAGAATACAGTTTGTGGCCCCAGATCACACTCCATAAACGGCCAACAAATAGACAAACGACCGCGTTGAACTTGTCGAATTCGTCGTCAGTATAGTTGCACTCGCGCCATACTTCTGCAAGCAATCGTGGCGTGAATTTAAAGAAACCGTGAGCCCCGTCTTCCCCCCTGCGTGATCGATTACGACACCTTTAGGGCGGCCGAGCGGTGCAGTCGCGTTGCGTGTAGCTTTGCCGCCATAGATAAACCAGAATCTATTCCACAATTGGAAGGCGGCGCGCGCGCGTTGCTTGTCAAATCGTATGAAGGAACTTACGGTGACTGTAGAGGAACATGACGACGAAAGGGGGCCGAAGAGAAACCAAAGGGTCAGCAATAGTGCACACGGCTCCGATACTGAAAAGGAGGATATTTTTGGAACAAGAGCAATGGTCTCTGCTAGCCCCCCTCACTCTCCATCCTCAGCGAAAATCGGTTATTCGGCCTTGCTAGATAGTCGATCTGTACATGCCTTTTGTTTCCATTCCTCTCGACGATTCGGCGGGATCGGGTTCTAAAAGCAATCCAAATATGGTTTTGTACATATTTCATTTAATTTTTGCTGCTTCGTACAATATCAAGGAGGAAGCGAGAGCTAGAATGAGAGAGAGAACGTGTGAGAGAGGAGGAGCGAGCGCGTGTTTGTTTGCGAGAGAGTATACTCAGGTCCTCGGGTCCACCCGAAATCCGGGTCGGCATCTGCTCGCGAAATCGATCGGAATTCCAGTAGCGGACACGACCGGATTCCACGTGGAAATCGACCGGATTGCGGGTCGATGCACGGTAAATAAGTTGGAAATCGACCGGATCCACCCGGTTTCCACACGATTTCCACTTGCCGCGTTGCGTGCGGCACGCGTTGCGTCGTGTTTCCACTCCTGATTTCCTGTGCGTCCACCCGAAATCCAGCCGATTTCATACGTTCCACCCAAAATCCAGGTGGAATACAACCGGATTTTGGGTGGACCCGAGGACCTGACTAGAGAGAGAGAGGGAGCGAGAGAGTGAGAGAGAAGGAGTAATAGACGATAAATACTTACATCATTACAGTCGAATAAATAGGAAACTAGGAGCATTGCCGATACGACAACAGCACAGCAAGCAGTCGTACGGAGCACTCGTTTCAACGATGGATCCACCCCTTGTAGATCGACGTCATCGTCTGACTGATCCGTTTCAGCAGCATTCCTCAGGTTGAGGCAACAACTGAATGTTTTTGGAATAGGGGAGAGCATTCGAAGAAAGAGACAGGGGAACAGAAGATCTAAAAAATGCGCCAAAAGTTGGCTAGGGTCTCAAAATGCCCTAAGGGCACGTTGACCCTTGGACAGCAGCTGGCTAAAATGACTGTTGATTGACTGAGCCCCAAAATCATCAGTTTCATGAATTCTCCCGGTGGCATCCCTTTTGAAGTTCTTGTATAGTTTCTCTCTCTCTCTCTCCTCTCTCTCTCTCTCTCTCTCTCTCTCTCTCTCTCTCTCCTTCTCTGCTCTCTCGCACTCTCTGGCCCTCGCTCTTTCTTTCTCTCGCTCTCTCTCTCTCTTTCTCTCGCTCTCACTCCCTCTCTAAATCTGTCTCTCTTCCTCTCGCTCTCTCTCGCTCTCTCTCTCGCTATATCTCCCTCGACCATAGTTTCTCGAAAAACTACCGAATTTCAGCAAACGAAAAATGGATCAAATAAATGCGAAACCTTCCTCGCCCCACCCCGAATCGACCGATTCGGCGCTTAGTGATGAGCATAATGGTAAGAAAATGGTTCTGCGTCTCGCCCCTAGCCTGTTGGATATTTGGACATGTCTCTGCCCTGTTGGATATTTGCCAAAAAGTCGATCAGGAGTCATCGACCTATGCCGTCGGTATCCCTTTAAACTGGCATCCAGTCTACAGACTACAAGCTATGATCAATGCTCCAGGCTACAAATTGTTACCCAAACCACCCGAGTTCGACCCCCGGCCGCCGATTTGAGTGCATATAGCTAACATGGAAAACAAACTACAGCCACAGACTAGAGACCACAGACTACGGACTACAAAAGAAGAACTGACAGCCAGATAACCCGGGTTTGATCCCGGGTACTGGGAAACTTTTGGCTTTTGAGAAGCGGAAGTTTCTCGAGAAATTGGTCGATTTTTAGATGCCGTCGATGAAGCGGCGAGGCTGCAAAGACGACTGAGCGCCGAACAGGTTGGTGATGCTGCGCGTAACTGGAGGGGAGGATAGGTGATCTCTGCTAGATCACCTTCCAAACGGCATCAGTTCCCAAAAATGTCCATCCTCCATTATTCAGGCGGAAACTCGGCGTCTCCGTCGACAAGTCGAAACCTTGGAAAGGAAGACAAGACCCAATTTGTTGCGATTTTCACGGCAGGTACGGTGTTTGGGCACTTGATTCCGGGGAGGGGGGGAGGGAGATAATTTGAACTTTTCGACGATTTTTTCGACCAAATTTCTAACGATTTTTTTTAAGTATTCAGCTTAAAATTAACTTCAGGACTATAAAAACACTTTCCTAAATATTCTTATATTACCCATTCGGAGCTAAGCTTAAACTTCGTTTTTATGAAGCTAAGCATAGGCTTAGGCTTGGCTTAGCTTTTGCAGAGGCTTCTAGTTTAAAAAAACGGCATTTGGAGCGTCTTGTAGTCAAAATCCGGACTGCCCCCCCTCCAAGTGCATTAGCACCATGAATTCTTTTAGACAAATGATGAACAGCCGCTGGGATTGGTCGAATCTTTGGCCCACTACGCCATCATTTTTGGCGCCCTTATCAAGTTCGCCGGGGCATTTGACGTTTGGTGGCCGGCGGAGACGGTATGTGTCTTTTTTTTTCTGTATTTTCTAAGTTCTGTATCTAATGGAAATGCCTTAATTTGCACTTCTAGTGTACGGTATCGTGTCCTCTCCGCACCTCTATTCTATTCCTCCATCTAGCCGTCTGGTCGTTAATCCTCATCGGTCAGTTTATACCTTTAAAGAGGCTGGGAAGGTTAGCAGGGATACGATACGGAATCCCTTTAAAGGGCTAGTTCAACTTTTAGAGCTTGGGCTGGTACCTTGGGAAACTATGGACGTGGCCATACCGCGCCTGAACAGTCCCTCATTACGACAGCGATTAGATAGTGGGGAAATTAGAGAGGCGCAGACACAAAAACGCGGAGAGGGTTCGACTCCTGGCCGCGGAAATTCTTTTACTTTATTCGGTGAACTAGCCCTTTAAAAACCTTCGTATTTCCAGGAATAACATATCGTAATTGTTCACCGGAAGAGAGGGATCATATCTTGACTGTAATTACAGTACATAATGGATACGCGAAGGCGACACTTTACCACTTGTTGCCCTGGATTTCTGGAATTGTGATGATTGTTACCTGTATTATCACCTATTTTCTGTATCGTTAAACCATCATGATATTTATTGAACGATATACGTCATTTACCAAAACCTCACTTAAAAATCTAAACTTAGAATGGACTAGATGCAAAATACCGTGAAAAATTTTTTTTGAACTCATCACAAACCGCCGTCCGTTCCTTCGAAAAGATCGAAAATACACCTAAAATCATGCGAGATGTACTTTACTTTACCAAGTATACCAAAATACTGGCCAGAGCAAGACGAACATTTTGGTATACTTTACACACCTGTAGATGAACAGGGAGTCGAGATACAAAAGTTGGGTGCCGGCGGCTAATTTACTAAAAAATACAAAACTATAGATTTTTCGGTCAAAATGGCCGTTTTTGACCAAAATGTCGACTTTTTGAAGGTTTTTAAATAGTTTTTTTTCTAGTGTAAAAAAGTTTTATTCTACTAAAAACATTACTAAAATCCCTGCCATTAAGTTACTAAGCATTTCTAGACTTATACAAAATCTTTGGTCCCCCCGATCATGAGAACCCCCAACTTCAAGCTAGCCAAATTCAGCTTCTTAAAAAATGTGGGTGGCTAGATCCTTGGTTTTATGCCATTAAAACAGTGTTCCACTTCCAATTTCTTATTTAGTAGGTAGCTTTTTAGTTTCTTCCAGTGAAAATTAGACATTTTGAAGTGTTCTTTGAAAAGCAAACCGAAAGAGGTACCAAATCAAACGCTGCCTTTCTAAGACAAAAACAGTTTTAATGCCAGCTCAGCGAATCTCAAGTATACCAACTGAAAATTATCTAAATTTAGCTTTTCTATTTAGTGAAATTCATTTCCAGATCGTCATGCATATGATTTTTGACGGATTTATTTCCTTTGCCAACTTTTCCCAAGTAATTTACGGGCTAGCCTTGATTTCAATGGCCTAACCACAAGCTATAACTTCTTTTCAAGCTTTCTGAAACATTTTTATGCGTTTTTAAATTTAGATAATCTTTTCAGCGTTGATTTTAGTTCGGGTTTTGTGAATTTTCGGACTGGCCGGCAAAAGGCCCCTCCCGCAGAGCCCGGTTGCCTATCCGGCGACCTGCCCTTTCGGGCACCGTAGTCCCCCTCTGCATGTCTCGCGGCGTCGCTCCGATTCTCCTCCCCGCATTTTGGCCTAAAATTATGTCCCTCTCCGATTTTCCTTTATCGTTCTTGACTCTTGGTTTTGGCCCTCCCCCCCTTCACTTCGCGCTCATTTGCTTTCTTAGGATCGCTATTACCTAGATTCCCTACTTCACTTCCAACAACCAACGCCGCGCATAGCATGATCTCCGCCACGCAGCTTTGCCTCCCTAATAGTTCGTTTCTCTTTTTTCTCTCGCCTTTGTAAACTGCGATCTGAAACTATATTCCTTTTTTTCAGAACAAACATGGGAGGCGTTCGCACGAAAACGATCAAGAAGGCGTCGCGTGTCATCATCGAGAAATACTACACCCGCCTAGGCCGCGACTTCCACACCAACAAGAGGATCTGTGATGAAGTAGCCCTGATCCCTTCAAAGAAGCTGCGCAACCGCATCGCCGGGTCAGTTTTTTTAGAATTTTACTTGATGCCTTGCGCGACAGCCAAGTCTTTTCGCTTCTAAAAAAAGCACTGTGTTTACCCGAACATGGGCATCACAGCCGTCTACGGAAGCAATAGCAAAAAAGTGCCTTAGGTGTGATGCAAAAATTTATTTTTAGCGTCCCAATCCAGGTTCTGACATCTCTCATTCTAGGGGGAAACATTTTCAGGGTTTAGCTTATTTTAATCTATTCTTTTCCAGATTCATCACTCACCTCATGGCCCGCATCGAGAGGGGACCAGTCCGCGGCATTTCCATCAAGCTCCAGGAGGAAGAACGTGAGAGGAGAGACAACTACATGCCCGAGATCTCCGTCGTGGACCCACGCGAATTGACTTCGATCAAGGTTGATGCCGACACCGAGCGGATGATCAAGGAAATGGTCGGTTTTATTTTTATCTCTCTTCGGGGGTAGACGCGCCATAAAGAAGCTATATAGTTTGCAGTTCGCTTTGTGATTGCGATTTTGCATTTATTTGTCCGCTAATATGGTTAAAACATTCACTAATTTTTGCCCCAGAGGTGTAACTACGCTGCGGTTGGGTACTAGCTGGGAAACTAGCTTCAGTATTCTAAGACGCAGTTGTAAGAATTCAATTTAGTCTTTTTTTTTGTCAGCACATAGTCCTTTCCGACACGATGAGATGGGTGTTACCCATATTATTCGTTTCGCTTCTAAAAAAAGCACTGTGTTTACCCGATCATGGGCATCACAGCCGTCTACGGAAGCAAAATCAAACAAGTACCTTAGGTGTGATGCAAAAAGTTTATTTTTTGGGTCCCAATCCAGGTGCTGACACTCTACACACTCACTGGGTCAGCTGGCCACAAGGGAGGAGGGGCCTTGTTTTAGCGCGCGTCAGGGGCGTGGCCAATCGGTGTAACAGAGTTCTTTTCAGGAGCTGAACATCCCCTGCCTTCAAGTCGAGGACGTCAAGAGCGGAGGTGTGCAAGGAGGCCGTCGCTATTAAGATCTATCGTTCCTCATTATTCTCTTGACCACGGAGCCAATGCTTCGTGGTTGTTGTTTCTGTTCCTTTTGCCAATAAAGTTTTGACATACGACGATGGTCGCGGTGATCCCATTTGCAATATCACTACTAATCACACCGCTGGTATTCGATTTGGAACTACGGAAGCTGAAGGGGGCGCCGCTTGTTATTATTTCTGAAGGGAGGAACTTGACGTTCTTCATTCACCACAACAGTTTGTACGCCGACACGCAGCGTGTGGGGCCTCTCTCAACTTCAGGACGGCATTCTGTTAGCGTGGAATGTCTAACCGATGCTTCACTACACATTTCCGTCGAAAAAGTTGCAACAACCCTGAATTCTCCTTCTATATGCACGTCGGTCAATGGTGGGTTTTCGTCTTTTTTGCCAGCTTCTCAAATATAAATAAAGCTTGAAAAGTGTTTCTGCTAATAGGCTTGCTCTTTTCAAAACAATCCACCGTGACTTGAGTACTTTTTGCATATTAGTTGTTCACCGGTGGTCCGGCTCTGGCCGCTGCGCATTTACACGCTTCGTTGCTTGCTTTGTAAACAAACAGAGCTAGCCTTGGAAGGGTCTGCAATGAGAAAAAATAATGCCAACGTTTAGCTTTGCACATCGACGAGTCTTCCCTGCATGGCTGTATATCAAACCTGGTCCAAGGCCCCCATCGGTTACTGGATAAGCTTTGCAGGTGCGTTTTTTTCGAGAGTTGATTCTTACGTCTCACTCCCTCCCATTTTTCTACCATTCAATAGCTAGGGGCTTTGGCGAGATTTCCGGGGGGAGATCTCCTTGTCACGGGCTCACAGGTGGCGGGAAAGTGGATCCTCACGGCCAGTCACTAATCGCGCTTATTACAATCACTTCTCCTGGGCGGGCGCTCTTGGTCTCAAGGTGGAAGGAAGGCTGGGCGCTTGGTCCTTGGAAGCCGCTGCTGCCATCCCTCATCCCCACAACATGCCCTAGCCATAGTCTAGATGAAATGAGCGTCGAGAGTAGGGATGACAAAGTGCGACGGAAAAGTGTTCGGTGCTCGATTGAGGAAATTATGGGGGTCTATCTAAGGCTTTTGCTGGACTGAAAGCCTATTCCGTGGCTGGCTATTTACCAGTACCAACCAAAAAAGTAAATCAGCCAGGACATCCCTTTAGTTAATCTAACCACCCCTCTTTTTACGGACAAATCGCTATCGCCTCGGCATCAAATTAGCCCAGATGGCCCACGGCCGAAGATGCGCTGAGCGATCGAGGAGCACGAGCCCCGTAAATCACGCACTTGCTTCAGCCCGTCGTCTCCTTCCTGCCAGCCGGTCGACTCGGCCGGCTGGCTGGTCGCCTCCGAACAAACACGACCCATTTGCACCCGCGTAAATCCCTCCGTGCCGACGGCGTTTTTCTGGCCTCTATAGAGGCATCGCTGCCGCGGCCCGCGAACAAGTGAGGTTGTGTGGCCCTAAAAAAAATAGGGCACGGCACACATGTCTCGAGCATGTAGGGCCCTAGAAAAGGTATTGGACTGTTAACGGGGGTACCTAACTTACCTTATTGCCCGGTATCCATAACGAAATGAGAAATTTTATGTAACTTTTTGCGTGGCATAACAAATGCATAAAATATTCCGAAAATTATTAGTTCGTTCGAAAATATAGGAAATAGTCAAGATTTGCGAAAATTGGGTTTTCCTAAATGTTGTCATCACCTTTCAGTTATCAAAAACTACCAAAAACACTAAAAACATTCATTAAAAGCTACAAAATATCCCCTCCCCCATTGCTAACAACCCAGTACCAGACAAAAAGCATAAAATTGATGCGATAACGTGTCAAAAGGTTAGCCAACCAGACCCGAGTATAATTTTAATTTTTAAGCTTTTAACTTTTTATCGCACCTTTCAAAATCCTAAATCGTTTCCGAACGTATGCCCACCGCCCATCCATCTTCCAGTGGACCCCTCGGCCCGGATAAGCGCAGCGTGTTTCGGCCTGTCAATGAAGTGATCGATTAGCACCCGGGCCCAGACGAAATGGCCCAAAATTTGGTGATCCCCGTCCAAGGTGTTCTGTCGAGGAGTAGGAAATGGTGAAAAACACGTATCGTATTTTAGCGAGCCGGATGGGTCATCAGAAGAGACATCAACCGAATCCCTCCACCACGACGAGCCACCCCATCTGGCCGCCCTCCACTTGGCGGATAATGGCCACCGAATAACGTCACCTCAGCCTGTATATGTTGCCGAGCCACTACAGGTTTGTTTATCTCGTTTTTTTGGTTTATTTTTCCAGGTGAACGAGGGCGCATCGATGCCGCTGCAGTGGAAGAACGTCTACGTCCTCCCCGAGCACGGCCGCTTTAACCTGTCAAATCGGGAAATTCTGTTTTCGGCACGTTTTTTGGTAGCTCGAAATGCGATAATTTGCCCCAAAAATTAATTTTCGAAATCTCATATTTTGGAAGTAAGGTTTATAAAAAAAAGGATATTTTGGGAAATAGAGATTTCTAAAACTTTGCGTGGCTAGGTATTTCCTACACCTTGTGGTCTTTTTGATTGGTAGCAGGGCGCAGATTTTTCGGAATGTTGGTTTTCGAAAAAGTGGTTTTCTATACCAATATTTAGGAAATGCGCTTTTCGAAAATTTTTATAATCAACGGGATATTATCGGGACTTTTGTCATCTGTGATAATTTGAGCTTTAGGTTGTCGAAGGCCCTCGTCACGGACTTCTGACCCTGGCCAGCAACCCGGTCTCCTCATTCACCTACGCCGATTTGTTGGCCCGGAACGTCGTCTACAAACACGATGGCAGCGAGACGCGGGAGGACCATTTTGATTTCCAGGTAAAAAGCTTTGATTCTAGGTAATTGTGATTAATTGTGTTTTATAGAGAATTTTCGAGAGAAGCTTTTTGAATTTAATATCCCAAACCCATCCTACCACCCACCATCTGGCCTAGGTGTGGCTCATTGAGACCCCACTGCGGGGCGCATCTCATAACAAATAATTCGCTCCCTTTTTTCGGCACCCCCAGATGTGGGTTGGATGAGAGCGATACAGAAAAGAATTTTGGCAGGCTAGAAAAGCGGCTAGTAAAATAGAAAAGTCTAAGACCCGGTGAAATAATTGACGATTTAGATTGAATTCCCGCGCATCGGCACTATGGATTTCCCGTGGCTGGTGACGACCACATACACGCTGAAGATTCGCATCAATGGAGTCAACGATCCGCCCGAGTTGAGCGACGCCACGGGCGGCGGCGTCGTGAAGGTGACGGCCAAGGGCAGCAGGGCTTTGACGGCTGAATTGGTTCGCTTGAACGATGTGGACAATTCGCCGGATACGGTAGAGATTTTAAAGCTGCTTAAAAATTAAAAAGTACAGGTTCGAATCCAAGTCGTGGAATCGAAGGGAGCGCATGTGACACTGTCTAATCGGACGGTCACTGAATTCACGCAACGCCAACTGCTGAATGGGGAGGTAAACTTGAGAAGTCTGATAGTAAACTAATAGAATAAAAAAATTATATTTTCCTACCCTGATAGGATAAATGCGTCTTGAAGTTATGCGTCTATTCAGATCCGCCTGGTCGATGAGGGACTCTCTGACCATTCAACGATCCGACTTGTAGCTCGAGATAGCGAGTCTCGAAGCGCTGTTCTGCCATTAAAGGTGAGAATTTTTCTTTAATTTCACTTACTTTTTTTCTTCAGATCGTCTCCGTCCCGATCGGCGTGCGCCCAGAGTTCAACACCGGCCTCCGACTACTCCACCACGGGTCGGCCATCATCACAAAAGGGGTTGAGCCTCTGGCTCCAAAACTTGCTTTAATTTAATTAAAATGAAACTCGATTAATGAATACCGATTTTACAGGAATCTCTCCTTCGTCCCGACCGTCCCCGAGGTCCCGTTGCACTACCGTATCGTTGGGCTGCCCGAGCACGGAGTTGTTGAATGTTCACCACCAAACGGCCACTTTCACGTGTGCACCACATTTTCACAGGTTTTTAAGAGAAAAACTCATATTTTTGGTTGTATTTAGAGTCAGATTGCGAAGAGCCTGGTGCGATTTCGGCACACTGGAAGCGGAACGCCACCTCAAGATACTTTCAGTTTCCAGGTATTTACTATTTAAAAGGGAATTATAATGAAAAAGTATAACCTAAATTCAGTAAAGCTAAAAGAAACAGAAAAAGACTTAAAACGAGCTTTAAAAAATGCCTGAAAAGCAGGGCCTAGCAATGCGTGTGGGCGCGTTGCGTATCGCGAATTATTACAAGGGAACGCCGCGCGCTGAGCTTTGGCGTTACTCTCCCTTTAACTCCAATCCTAGGTTGAATCCGGCGATTTTGTGAGCATGGTGCACGCCTTCCGTGTCACCTTCATCCCGATGAACATCAAAGTGTTCAACCGAGAAGTATTCCTGCTCAACGGAACGGATAACGGGATGCTTGGCCGCGCCAACCTCTTCGCCTGGACCTTCCCGAAAAGCTACAATTCCGATCAGCTGGTGTATCATATTATTGGTGCGTGATTTTCCTATTTCCCAGGTATCAAATAAAATTTAGAACCTCCTAAATTTGGAATCCTTTCCCGGAAGATTGGGGCCAGAAATCGAAGAATCGGCGTTTCGTCCAACTTCACGCAAGAGGCGGGGTTTCCAATTTAATTTAGAATTTTTTTCTAGGACATTGATGGGAATACGATCAGCTACAAACTCCATTTCATGCAGTATTCAATCCTGAACGACTACTTTCTATTTAAAATCATTGCCCCGTCGGTGCAGTCTGAGGTATGTGGAAGAGTGGCTTAATTAAAAAAACGAAAATCTTCAGATACAACGCTTCGAAATTGTCTTCATCCCCTCCCAAGCGTCGATACATCTCGTCAATCGAACTGTGGTTGTGGATGAGGGGGCGAGTGCTCAGGTTTGAATTTCAGTGGTCCAATTTAATAAGGTTTTTCTAGATCACCAACGAATTCCTCTCACTTTCGACGCCGGACGACAAAAACTTTGTATTTACAATTGCCGTCCCGCCAGAACATGGCAGTCTTTCGTATAAGAATTCGAACGGTAAGTAACTTCCCAAGTTTTTCATAAACTCATTTTTTCAGGAAAATACATCCCTATCAACGCCGGAAATAACTTCACCACCGCCCATATCAACGACGGCCGGTAGTTTTGACCCTTTGGAAGAATATTATTTTTTTCTTAGATTATTCTACAATCACTCCGGCTCAGAGTCGCGCTCCGATCGCGTAAGTCTACTCGCGGAATCGGCGTTTCGCGGCGGGACCCGGATCCCGTTGTCGCTGTCGTTTTCCGTGATCTTGCACAACGACAATCCGCCGGCGTTGATCGGGCCCGACACCATCTATGTAAGTTTATTAGCGAAAAATGGATAAAAAAATCCCCCCTCTCCCCTCTTTTTTTATTTATTAACCAACAGAAAAAAAAACCCCCCCCCCCCCCCGGGCCCCCTCCCCCCCCTTTGCCCCCTTCCCATTTTTTTGACCCCAAGTGGTTTTAGATTACCCCGAAAGGAGAACGAGTTTTATATCCGCATATGCTCGATTGGCGGGACGATGACGTTGATTCAATGCCGTTAAAAGTAAGCGATTTTAGATGAAAATTTAACTTTTTAAACGATCTTTAAATTTTTAAACAATTTTTTAAATATGGTAGATAACTTTAAGAAGTAAGTAAGGAAAAGTGGCATAATTAAGAATGATTTAAGATACTGTTTCAGTTCTCATTTTCCGCCGGCGCGAAAGAGGGCGCAATCTTGTCGACAATTTCCCCTCACCTACCGGTCACCAGCTTCACGCAGGAGGATTTGGCGAAAAAGAAAGTGATGATTCGACATCTCGGGAATAAGGCCAACTTCTCGATCGAGTAAGTTACACATTATTTTATTAAGGAGCGTTATTTAGTTATACGGTGTCGGATGGGGCTCGATCTGTCCCAGGGACGGTCCATATCGTGTCGAGCGAGTTGTTTGCGGAAATTGGACAAGCCGAGCTGACCTATTGCTGCCTGCCCGGGGATCGACCGCAAATTCGTACGTTTTTTGGGTTGGATAAAATTTCAAAAGTTGTTTTTTTTAGCTCGATGATTTATAAAAAAAATTACTAAAATAAAAACAAGATTTTTACGCTTTTCTATAAGATTTATATGATGTTTGAGTGATCGGAAATCACTAAACCGCTATAAAAATTACTAAAACACTATAATATTATTATATCTTTATTATTACCAGCTTCGACAGATTATAAAGAAGGTCTAAATCAAAAATAACTTAAAAGAATATTAATATATATTCATTTAAAAAATTTCAAAATTAAAAATACCGCCGGATTTAGAAGTACACCCCGGCAACCTGACGGTCCGCACAAATCACGATCTGCCGCTATCCGAAATTGTCTACAACACCCCCAGCGTTCATTTTGTCATCAAACGAAATGGCACCGCGCAGGGAGCTTCAAAATTCACGCAGCAGGTTTTTCAGTTTTTCAATATTGTTAGCAGATTTTTTAGGATATCTACGATGGTGTACTCTACTATACTGTGCACGCCGCCAAAAAAGAGCCAATTACGGTGACCGTTGGAGAGAAGCGGGTCGAGGGAGAGGTTCGTTAATCGGGGCTCAGGGAGTCTGAGGTGTTGCTCGTGCCGTTTTTATGGGCACAGCTGGGCGAGGCTTGAGCGCGCTTGGCCTGGCCACATGGGCTAATTAGTGGGCCCAGGTTTTGACGCTCAGAAAAAGCGAATAATCCAGCTAGTGGGGAAGCAAAAAAATGGATATTTTCAAAATTAAATGATTTAAAAGAGAAGATATATTTGTATTTTTTAGATGATCCTGACCCTCCGTTCTCTGGGGGCTTCCCTCGAGCTTCGACGCTCTCAACCACTCTCTGTCCCCGTCGGTGGCGCTTCAACAATCAATAACGAAACACTGCTTCAGGTATGAAATAATA